CCCTTCTAGAAGGCATGCAAGGAAGCACTTTTTTCAGCCCTTCGTGGGTAGGCCTCTTAGAATGGCTTTACTTAGGATGGCCTACCTAAATTATCTTCTGGGTTCTGCGTCAGAGTACTACATTTTTAATAGGCAAATTGATTTCAATTAAGAAAGATGCAAATACAATGCCATGGTTTTTTTATAGATGGTAGCAATACTATGCTTAGATATAGCTTAAATATTCAAATAAACATGTGTGTGACAATACTTGCATTTGCAACACAAAAAAATATTTATTCTAAGTTGATTAGCTTAAGCCACTGTGGATCAATCTCCATTTGCACCACATCAGTCGTTCAAGGTGCACACATTTGAATGGACGTTGGTTGTAAATTACAGCCGGATAATGAAGAGTGAGCCAATTATCGAAAAAATACGCAACAAATTGAAGGATTCTAATCCTGATCGACGCACGGTTTTGAGCGTATTTCAATTCAATATCACTGATACCGATGGAAAGTTAATTAAAAGTGTAGGTGAGTATATGCAGATGCACACTATACAAACGAACTGCTGTGCACAAATCTATTTGTGAGTGTATTAATTTATAGTGTCGTAGTTTTTGATTTTAAGGATCTGAATATCTATGAGGGCACAACAGATGCAGCAGATGCTGAAGTTATTATATCGGATGAGGATTTCTATCTAGTAGGTACGAAGCAAACAACATTTGATGTACTACTCGCTGAGGTAAGGCGTACGCAAAACAGTGGATATGCTTTACTTCGAATAATTTTAATTCGATTCGATTTTAGAACAGGGCGGTTGTCAAGGGAGATGCCAAGGCCATAGACAAAATACTTGGGAAGTTCCGTTCAGGAGCAGATAAGTGACTGGATTGATAGTTGATTATTATTTTTTATTTAAGTCAAAACGGTGAGAGCCTGGACCCACTTACGCGTTTAAAGGAAGATGCGAATAATGTTGCAGATAGCGAATGTAGTTCTTGAATTATAGCGATATCAGTGATGTTTACATGTATGTATTTACATATGAACATGCACCCATATGCATATGTATTCCTGTTCTTACTTTAGTAATCATGTCCTAAAATTTATTCTTTTAAATAAACTAACCTTAATTTTATATAAATAAACTAGCAGACCCGGTGAACTTCATCCCGCCAAAAATTAATTATTTTTTATTGAAACTTCTTGGTCCAACAATAGTTGCGTTCCAGGTGCTTCACGATATTCACGAAATTCACGATTTGCATGAACAGTTTGTTTTCTCCATTAATAAACCTAATGGGAGGTGGTCACCTGGAACGACTTCCTGTAAAAACCTGCAAATCGTGAAGCATCTGGAACGCAACTATTATCACCAACAATTCATGTTTACCATTTTCATTGGCACATTAATCTGCTAAGATTATGGTTTGGTGGTCATTTACTGGCGGGTTAAATTGTGAAACTAAACCCTCCAGAGACCCGCTCAAACGCACACAAAAAATTTCGTTAAAATCCGGACACCCATTTAGGAGGATTTCACTTACAAACACACCAAGAAGAATTATACATCCAAAGAAAGCTAAAAGTTGGTAAGTTTACAGGCCCCACATCCCTTTTCAAATAGGGGAAATAAGAATCAAAAATTTTGTACGCCCAAGTATTCTAGACATTTTATTTTATTATATTGTATATTGTTTATAAATGAATTATATTTTTACAAATCATACCTATGTTTTGAGTCATATGTTTTTGAGAAAAATACACCGTAGTAATTTTCATGATAAAAATATAGTAAGGTAGAACCGCTGAGAGTCACTTTTAAAATTCTTGACGTTTCTAAACAATTTAACTTTTAAATTTACTCACACACACATTTTCATTTTCAATCTCAAGCAACAACAATTTCGAACAATTTCAATTTTTTATTTTCACTTTTATATGATTTTAAAATGTTGGCAAACTTCAAAAAAAAATCATGGCCGACAAATTGAGAGAACGGTTATACCTTGCTATGTTTTTATCATGGTAATTTTAAAATTTCAAAATTACATTTCTCGACTGAAAAATAAGATATTCGAGCTAACTCGACGGCATACAGTGTTTCTTTTTAACACTTCATGCCAATTAATCGCAGCGCTTTCGACAGAAGCAATATTTTGATATGAGGCAAAATGGCTTTGAAAGCTAATTTAATTACCTTTCAAGAAAAAATATTGCCATTGAGTCACAATCACTCCTTGACCTTAAAAAAGTTGGTCAAAAATAGTGTTCTTTGAAAAAAAAACATGCAAAATCCAACGGATATATTAAAAAAAATAACATTTTTTGAATTTTTTATTATACAGGGTGGCGCCGAATGAGCTATATAGTTTAAATGGTTTATAACTTCTTTATTTATGCGATTATTATAATTTTTTTTTAATACAGTGGGCCGTAGGAACAAAAATAAGCAATTGCTTTTTCTTAAAATTTCAGATCTTTTACTCAATTTATTCAAACAAAATTGAAGTGAAAGGTATGAAATTTTAAGAAAAAGAAATTGCTTAGTTTTTATTCATACGGCCCAGTATATTATTGGGGAATTTTTTGCAATTAGCTTTGAAAAATGATATCCTGTAAGTGATGTCCATTTTCTGCTTCGCACATACGTGTTCTTTTTAGCATATTTTCCATAACTTTTCGCAGAATTTCGGGTGTAATGGCCATGATTTCATTTCGAATGTTGGTTTGGAGTTGGAGAATGGTTCTTGGTTTGTTATCGTACACTCTTTCTTTCAAATATCCCCAAAGAAAACTGTTAAAAAGAATTCAAGCCATATAGCTCATTCGGCGCCACCCAGTACTACCTAGTATTATAGATTTTGAGACGAGAAACACGATTCCACTGTTTAAAAACCGAAAAAAAAAAAATCAAACCCTCAATTTGAAAAATTATATTATATATTGCATTTTTTGGTATTTGCATGCAGCTGTGCATCCTTCACACAATTGTTATCCCTCGAACAATAAGTCAGTTTTAGTGCTATTGAAGACCTTTAATTTAAGCCAAGGTAGAAGTCTCCAGGCCCTTTGAGAGCTAAATTATCACGATTCTAAAGTTAAACTTGGAAATTTTATTCGCCATTTTACGCAATCTTTTTTTTCTAATTTCGGAGTAAAAACTAGTACCGCAGATCCGAAGTTTGGTTTAAAATTGTTATAACTTGGCTCTCAGAGGGCCTAGAGGCTTCTTCCTTGGCTCAAATTAAAGGTCTTGAATTGCACTTATTGTTCGCGGGATATAAAATTGAGTTTAGGATGCACAGCTGCATGCAAATAGAAAAAAATGCAATAAATAATGCATTTTTTATATTAAGGTGTTAAAATTTTCCTTCTAATTTTGAACAGTGGAATCGTGTTGCTCGTCTCAAAATCTATAATACTAGTATAATAAAAAATACATACATTTTTTGTTTTGGAATAAATCCCGTGTATTTTGCATGTTTTTTTTCGAAGAACACTACTTTTGACCAATTTTTTTAAGGTCAAGGGGTAATTGTGTCTCAGTGGCCACAATTGAAAGGGATTTACTTTAGCTCTCAAAACCATTTTATTTCGTCTTCAAATGCTGCTTCTGTCGAAAGCGCTACGATTAATTCGCGCGCAGTGTTCAAAAAGCAGACTGTGCGGTTTGTGAAAGGACAAGAGATGCTTATAAAATGCTGTGCATATTTGTCAGATATGAGTTCAGCGACAAAATCTATAAGAAATTGCCAATTTCATATCAGAAAAAAAATTCAATTAGCACGAAATTATTCCGGAAGTAGAATCATAATACCAAGAGTGTATTTGAAATTCCTAACCAAACTCGGGCTTCTCGACCGACTCGGATTTGGGAGGGGAAATTTCAGCCCCCGAACACATATCTATGTAAAGTAAACAAGCCCCCGCTGCATCCCTTATTCGATAGTTCCGAACTTGTTCTAAATTCGACAAATAAGATCTAGTTCGTTCTGCATCCCTTTTTCTATAGTTCCGAACCATTTCTAAATTCGTCACTTTAGATATCGATTTCTAGTGAAAAAACTGAAAAAAATTTGTATTTTAGAAGTACCACTTTTCGCCGATTTTGGACTGGTGGGGATCTATTTATCGTACTAGTTCCTTTTTGACGATAAAGACCTAGTACGGAACTAGAAATTTGATTCACTAGTCCGCGGTTTCCCTGCAGGGTAGATATGTGTTCGGCGGCTTTTTCGTTCAAATACGCTTCTATTTTGCGCTTCGCAGGTGCTTCTTCATAGCTTGGTAATACAAAACTAAAATTTGTATTAACATTTCAACATCTTGGGAATGTCTGGAGACTAAGAAATAACAGCAGGCACCTCTGCAAACTCAGTTACAGCTAAAGGTATGTAAACGTACTATCCTACAATCATTCGCACAAATTTAATTTCAAATTGAAAACACATTTCTTCCAAAATAACTTAAAATCGCACACACGGAAGAACCAAAAAGATTGAAAAATCATGATACTTTTTTCTTTCGTCTGTCGATTTCAGAACTGGCTCGGAACTGTACAATTTAGGACTAGTTCAGAACTATCGAAAAAGGGATGCAGCGGGCGGCAATTGACACTTCCTAGGATATCGCCATGTTAAATTCGCCAGTTGCTTGCATGCAAAAGAGATTTATCGCGAACCAGTACTGGGTCTAAATGTACTAGAAGCGCACCAGTTCAGAACTAGAGATTTTCCCCACAGGGAGCAAACGCAATTTTAACATGCGTTGGTAAAAACAACCACCATCTGCATAGCAATTCCCTAACTAGTTGGCGGAAGCGGAATTTACAAATTTCGGGTTGAGTGGAATGATTCACATGATTTCACTCAAGCAATGAATATTGTGGATCAACCTACGTTGAGCTGAGGATCAAACTTGTTGGGATGGTATGAGTATGTTGAGGGCATCGAATTCATATGGAGGGCAACTTGTGCACATAAATCAATGTCGTTGTGCATATGCGTACATCAGAGTGGTGGCGTTTCGCTGATTTAGAGGTACTTATATGCAAAAAATGCTGAGTAGCGGGGAACCTCAAAATAGCCACCCTTTGCTGATCACTGGTGTATATCTATTAGTCTGGCGACAACTACAACTTGTGATATCTACTATACTTGGTTTGCTTTTTAATACTTTAGAATTTTTATTATACCTACGGTGACCATCCGTTCTGTTTTTTGCTGGACCGTAACGGTTTTGAAACGGTTTCACTTCTGCTCTCATGGCCTCAATTATGACACCGGGTGCACGGGGTGAATCGAAAATGTGAAATTTTCTTATAGAAAATGATAGGAAAATTTCATGATTTTCAATTCGTACTAAAACAAGAATATGCCCCCATATTTTAAATGTATTCACTTTTTGTGTAAGCTATTGTAATAATAATATATTTTGTTATATTTTTATAAATATTCATTTAAAAAAAGAATAATACCGATAAAGAAAACGTGATACACGTTTAAAGTCTAAAATGGATTAAGAATTTAGAATTATATGTTTTTACCCTTTTTTATTTTTATACTATATACGTTTATTTTTGTAAAAATGTCTTGCATTTTCAATCCATATTTATGGTCACCGCAATTATACCATAGTTATTTATGAAGATGAGATGGTGGAAGAGAAAGCGTTTCAGTCATTTTGTGTAGAAAGGTTTCAAAGCACAAGGATAGTACTTACGTACTCCGCATAGTAATCCAAAAGAAACTAAACGCAAGCGCAGATTTATATTTCAATAAAATTGTATTTCAACCGATTACAATAAGACTTAAAATTAGGTTGACATATGTATGTAAGTATGTAGCTGCTAACAACATGCATACTTAGCTGACAACATTGAGCCATTGGCGGTTAAAAAGAAAATATGTATGTATGTAAATATTTGTATGCACACAAGCATATTGTTATTAACACAAAGTTTTGTATAAAGAATATAAATATGTATGTTTGTATGTAGATAAAGGTCAAACAG